TAATTTAATTTATTTTAATTGTAATAAATTAAAATATCTGAGTTATGTTACTATACGGGAGGTTATGGGCTCAAGTCCTAGCCAGCTCTTTTCCAGTTATAGAAAATCAGTTTCAAAAGTGATTATTTTTACAACCGTAATTCTAATTTCGGTTGGGCGGGGAATGTCAAGCCCACCGAATGTATTTCATTTCATCAGACAAAAACTCTTCATAGAAATCCATTAGCTGGAAATAATTAGAGGAGACACTCGGACGAAAATTTCTTCAGCGGTTTCAAAAGCGGCAATTATTTGCGTAGTATGTTCACGATATCGGTGGTTTTGAGGTTTTGATCCAGATGTTTATTTAATTATGTTATCGCTTCAAAAATATAGTACCAGATAGAGATTACGCATTTGTGCCAGCGCTTCTTCTATCCTCCGAAGCACTACCCAAATTTAATATTTCAGAAAGCTCTTAGGGCTTTTAATGATGCGCGTTCAGTGTCATCTATGTCATCAACGGTATTTAATATTCTTTTATGGCATTTGGTTATAGCCAAGTATTCAAGAACAAGCAATGAAGTGTGAGTAGGTGCTCATCGTGAAGCTAACGCCTAGATTTGTTTCTTCACAAATCCTAACGTTTTTCTGGATTGCTTCACATAAATGGCTTGAACTTGTATGTTCTACGTTTATTGACAGCTTGACGGTAGTAGGAATTTATTATGCACTACACCACTAAAAACGAAGAACACCGTCACAGCCTTCTCGCGCCTTTATTAGATGTTAATGTAATTCAGCATCTTGCTTGAGTGCATTTCGTACTTTCTGTGCAAAACATATATTCGCTGCAATTTTCGTTTAAAATTCAATAATTTTGAAAGGAATTTTTGGAAAAATATCACGTTATGAGTCATTTCATATGCTAAAGTAATCAGCGGCTTCTGCATTAGAGATTCGACGATCGTGCATAGGTACGTGCCATCTAGACTTTCGGTATTTCAACATTGAATAACTCTGTCGGTGCCAACACAGACCGAAAGAACTGAAATGCTGAAATCGTAGCGCTTTACATTGAAAATAATCGTTCAGTTGCGAAAACAGTGTGTGCAAAATATGGGTGACATTCACCTTCACCTTCAGACAACACGATTCGTAGTTTGGTGGAAAGTTTCTTCGAGTATGACTCTGTAACAACTCGCCAGCATCCTATTCGACCGCATCCGAAACGCTAAGGTGAAGTTGTTGACGCCGTCAGAGACGCTGTTGCCAATAATCCAAATGAGTCGTATTGCCTCAGATCTCAGGAGTTAAACGTGTGAAGAACGACTCTATGCGTCCACAAAAGCGTTCGTAATTCTTTAAGAAACTCTTACTTTACTCAAAATTAAATACAAACTATTTGAATTATTTTTTTTTAAAAAACTAAAATCAACGAGCTCATAAAACACGTATAACCTAATGCGCTGTTAAAGGCAAAGTCAGCAAGGAAAAAAGCTGAAAGTTTTATAATAATTCAGAGGATTGCGCACTAATAAAATAAGAGTAAGGGTTTGAAAATCGAATTCTCCAAGCCCGAGATATTTAAGAAATCTTATTGTTTTTTGAACACACCACGTGGGTTATTTAATTCAATTTGACTTCATTTAAGGCAATTTATTTAATTTACATTTAACTCATTTCATTATATTTTTGCGTACTGTTTCTGAGGGATGACTTTGCCATTCTTAATCCCTCTGCTTCAACATATCTCTGAATTATCTGTTTGTGACGCAAGCGATATCACTTAACGAAGAAAGAACCAAAACTTTTATATATTTTTGGTGGCGTTGCCAGCTTTAGCGAGAAAGTGCTGCAATCTTTACATAACAGCATTTTGATTTTTCGTAAATCGTATATAGTTTTACCAACTTTTTGCCGCAAGCGATTTATCCCCCTCAAAGTCTTCGCAAATTCTCTGCGTTTTCGCTGCTTTTTGTTTTGGTGATGATGTTGTTTCTTCGATATTGGCACTTGACTGCCAGTTGCCAGTAAATATTGAAAGCAGTTTCTTTCTATCGCACAGATTTACGCCACCAACTGCCAATGCAAAATGTGCGAGCAGTCAAGTGAAACAAGCCAAAGGAACAACAACAGAGAGAAATGAGAAATATACAACGCAAAAGAAATTTCGCCTTGTAATCTCGACAGCTTTCACTGTCGTCGTCCTAGCAATGCTTGTTTACTAGCGACTAGCGTTTAGGAGAAGTGAAGCGCGCAAGCTACACGCGGTAGCACTTGTCAATACAAAAAGTGTTGAACAGCTCAGTACGCGGCATTGTTCTATTACGCTATATATATACTATATTTTTTCTATCATACTTTTATTAATCTTAGTTCTTATTTGTTTTCAGAATTTCGCTACAGATTTCAGTTGTGCATCATTTCGGTAAATTTTTTTTTGTGCATGCGGCTTGTGAATTGGTGCTCAAAAAAATTGTAAAACACTTACATACACAAACAAACGTACACACACACACACATGAGTACACAATAACGGCGAGCTTAGTGTGCATTTCACCCAAAAATCAAAACAAAATGCTATAAACTTGTTTTCTTTCCATTCTCTTTTTCTTTTCGAAGTGGTCAAAAACAAAAACTTAAACGAAACCAGTTAAGGAAATTTCGGAAAAACAATATTTGTTTATAATGCGTTTTTCTCTTTTTCTCTTTTTTACCTCAAAACAGGGAAAACTTCAACAAGTATGTGTATGCGAACGTGTATGTAACCAAGTGGGGGTGGAAAAACGGGGACAGGGACTCAACGCATACATCCATATGTATGTATATATAAGTAGCATGTATGTATGTATATGTATAGTAAATATGCAATAACAGTAAAGGAAAAAGCACAGTTAGAGCAACACATTTAGTTGGGGGAATGCGTTAGTTCGAATTATTAAAAAATACTTCAAGTGGAAGAGGAAGGAAAAAGATAGCTTCAATGCAATATTATATTATATGGGTAGTAAAAAACATATTTATATATTTAGTAGTATTTAACAATTATTACGATATTCATAATACATTAATGTATACACATATAAAAAAAGAAATATTCTTGAAAAAATGGATAAATTTAATAAAGCATAAATAATATTGTAATATTAATAAAACTTTGAAGAGATGCTTAGCTGATTAATCAGTTTGGCTTGTATTCGATTTTTGACTTTTTTACTCTTTGAATTTCGGACACGACGGAAATAATACGATTTCGTGACATCTAGAAAATCTCTTCGATAATTTTCTTCTACCGGCGTGCCTTTTAGAGGGCGACTTTGAATTATTTTCCTCGGCTCATCAGGGAATATTAAAAAATATTATTTTTTTTTTTAAACATATTCTGAACTATCCGAAGCTAATCCTCTCATAAATAAAATTTGTGAAAATTTGTCGAGAGCAGCGTCAAGCTTGCTTTAAATAGAAATAATTATCTTCCCAGAGAATTTTTTTTAGAACCAAATTTACTTTTCTAATTGCTTTGTGTTTAGCAACAACAAAGACAAATACTTGTAGTAGAAGTCTTATTTTTTCGGAGCTCCCCAGCTGTTGTTATAATAAGCAATTTACTGTTATTCAAAAAATTTTATGTTAGCCGCTATTTCATTAAATAGGGCAGATCTTGGTTCTTAGCAATTCTGTATGCCTTTAGATGTCAAGTTTCTGAAAATTGTATGAGCGTAAGAACAATATTTTCCGAATATAACAGCATATGAGCCCGAAAAATTTAGTTAAAAGTTTTCCTTGCCGAAGGAAACCGTGGACTCAAAGAAAATTTGTGCCTCCTTGCCTTTTCGATATATAATATATGGAAAACAAGTGTCACACTTTATTCTAAATGATATTTTATGGCGGACACTGTTGGTTGGGTTCGAGACCTCCTCTGCCATTCCAAGGCGGCTTATTGTTGGAAAAAGCATCAAGACGCACGCTACGTATGAATTGTAGGAGGAGTTCGTGCGGAGTATACATTATAATGGAAAAAAAATCAACTTATTGATGCTGCAAATGAAAACCAAGGTTTCTGCCATTACTAATTAATTGAATAAATTAAAATAATTGGAAATTTATGTGCTGAAAACGAAAAAAGTCAATTAAGAGAGCAAAAAATGGCAGTTAATTAAATATGTAAAGTTTTAAAAATTATATTATTGCAATAATTGTCGCAAGAGTTTTACGTAAGGAACACAGAAACTAACACACTGACATGCATTGTGTAGATGAGTAGTTGTATGTATGTGCGACAGCGAAATAAAAAATTTAATTATGAGAATTACAGCTCATAATGCAATAAAATCCACTTATGGGTATTCACGAACAGTAGCAATGGCTGGTAAGTTACGCAGAAAATCAATATTTTAAAAATTAAAACAACAACATTCAACTTAAAACCTCTTCCATGAATACCCTTTGATTAAACATTAAAACAGAAGAAACTGTGCGTACACTTGCTGCAGCACAAACGCAGAAAACAAGAAAAGAATCCGATTGTATTTATGTAGCTACATGTGATCGGTGACGTATGAGTAATATTCAATGTATTTATGAAGCGAATTTTCCAATAAACTTTTTGTTTTTGAATCGAGTTTTGTGTCGTGTTTGCAATTCGTGAAGTGTCATCGCGCATTTTACAGTTATACATAAAAGTGCTTGTGCACTTGTCGATATTTATATATATTTGTTTGTGTATGTGTAGGTGTGTGTGTGTATATATACATGAATCTCTCTACTTGTGTTGCAAATGTATTTATCGTTGATTGCAATGAAAATATTTAATTGTTTTTATTTACAAGTCATAAAAATAATTAAATATTTTTCAAATTGTAGTTGTATGCGTGAAAATTTAGTTTCTATTTTTTTATTTTTAAACTTGTAATTCACAATTTGATTTTTATATTAATTGCGAGAATTTTTTTTTATAATTTGGCGAGTGTTTGAAAAACACTTGTAATTTTTTTCCGAACTTTTATCGAACTTACCTCTTGTGGTGGTACATCATAAGTGCGTGTGCGTAGATCCACTCGGGCGTAGGAATCAATGCATGGCAAAATGAAGAATATACCTGAAATAAGGATTCGGATGGAATTTGAATTTATTTTTATATTTTTCACTAACACAGTAATTGAATAATATACGATTGTCATTAAACAAAAGGAAATAAAGTTATTTTAATTTTTAAATAAAATCTTGTATTTGTATTTTATTTGGTAATATAATATATTATAAAAGAAAGTCCTCTCCCGCATCTGTTGGTCTGCTCGCCATAAACTTAAAGCTATTGAACTGTTTAATATCGCTTTACCCAGTATATAAGTGATTCTTCAGGAATGTTTATGTAATAAACTTCTCTTATATTTTGAGTGTTTACACCCGCTTATTTCAAAAATTACTTAACCAATTTTCATGAATATTTCTTAGAACAAAGTACGTGAATTATGGCGTTTTAATACCGCTCATTTTATAAAGATCAAAATTGAAATAGAAAGTAGTGTTATTTATATTTGATTTTAGGTCTCAGTCCCACTTCCAGGAAACAAATGTATTCCGTTTAGGCATATCGATCTAATTTCCGTAAAGAAAGAATTTCTACTAAAGAATCTTAGAATCTTTCAAATAACATACCTACCTCGTCAACTACCTATTAATTTATGCAAATCCCTGGTTCACTTCCCGAAAATGTTTTCCTCAAACTTTTTCCAACAGAAACGAACCATGCAAAACGAGCAAACGGTTTTTATAACTTATAGATGAGAGAGCGCACCGCGTAGCAAATATAGGGTGGTTGATGAAGATTGATTATAAATCAGAGTCCAAATATATGCCTGACTTTAATTTTATGAAGTTTTTTCTTATTTTCATTTAATGAGTGCAATTTTGCGTTTTGGGTTGGTTTGGGTCTAACACTGCTAACAGATTCTTCTACAGATTATTTGTTGGTTATGACTAGCGGTGTTACATCTAGTTAGAATTTTCCAAAATCGATTTATTTAATGCGCAATTCAAGACCAAAATTATGGAAAAAAAATTGAATATTTGAGAAGCCGCCATATTTTCCAAAAAAAAATTTTTACTTATCCCTTCGATTAATCACAAAATATGCATTACTTCAACGAAATCCGTTTTTTTAGTTTAAAAATGATTCATTTCAGAAATACAATAATCACCCATAAACGGCATTTATGGAGAGGTTCTTGGAGATCTTCTGTAGCAGCTTCAAAAACTGTTATTTTTTTTAGATAAAAAATTGCTGACTACTGCAATAATATGTGCTCAAGTGCTAAAAAATATAAAGCTAAAAGTTTATTCGTGAAAAGGTTTGAAAAAGCTCATTTTTAGGGTTCCTAACTAGATGTAACCCCTTATTACAAAGCTTATAAAATTAGGGAAGGCAATACAGAGAGTGTAGACATTCTACATCCAATAATCGCTTGTTTTTTGGTAGCAATGTATATTTTTTGCCTTGATGAATTCCTAAAATATTTTGTGGTCCAATACCAGGTTCTATTTGCTTAAAATTTGAAATAAAAGTGGCATTTTGCATAGATGAAAATATGCAATACTTTTCCCGTAAAGTAGATCAGCGACAATTGCACGAATATTTGTATGCTATTTACATACTACGATACCAGGTTGATTTGAATTTGACGGTAGTTTTATGTTCATATGATAGGCGTAGATCAGAGCGGGGCTCAGTTTAAGTTAACGCATTCAAATTCACATTTTCATTGATTTGTGGAAAAGGGCCTTTGGTATAACGATCTTTGACACGAACGCCAAACATTGTATGCCCATACCATAAAGAAATATGTAAGCAGGTCAGTAATAGAATTTCTTACTGTGTAATACCCATCATATTATCTAACATGCATATCCAATAGTTTCTTAGAAAAGTTTGTATTATTGAGTTAGCGATTCTGATACAGATTTTTGCATGAAACTTTGAGCACTATGTGACCTAATTCGACTGCTGGAAAGTTTTTTTTTTAATGGTTGAGTCTATTTTTTTGGAATTTAAGAACGAACTTATCCTAAGATTTTGAAGAAAGTCGTTATCTAGAAGAAAAAAATTGTGTCTTTCCTGACAAGCTCAATGAAAGGACTTGTTTTGAGTTGTGAAATGAGGTCTTTACCCGTTACTGTCATCACGCCTTTCGCTAGTAAATAATTTGCATACTGTTTTGAAAAATGCATAATTTATGCAATTAAAATTAATTAGACGAAGTGAAAGTGTCATCACAAAAAATATATATATGCATATATACAGTATTATATACATATGTATGCATATAAAATGTGTACAAAAGCACTTTCTTGCGACCTTCTTTTTTGTGCTCTGCACCTTTAGCCCATTTTTTTTTGCTTTTGTTTAGAAAATTAACATTTCACATTTGACACTAAAATGTGTGCAATTTATCCTTTTGTGGCCAATTGAGCACAACAACTTTGCAGAAGCTTTGCCGCCTGCGCTGCCTTCGTCGGCTATGACAGCAACGACGCTCACAGAAAAAGCTACATTAACAGCGGTAACAACAACAACAACAATATCTTAACCGACAAAACAGTACAACAAGGACGCGAAAAAGTATCACAGCGTTGTGAACATTGCTGTAACAGCTGCTGTAACGGTAAGGATGGCGGTAACAAAAAAAAAAATAAGAAAAAAAAACAACTACAACGAGCAGCGCGAACTACGCGCGACAACAAAAGGCGATATGGAATAAATGCAATGCGTGTGAGAGATGATGGCAACGCCAAACGTCATTGCAACACATAAACAATTTCAGGATTAGGTTGATCCAAAAATAAATTTCAACATCGTTATATTGATTTTTATGCGCTGTACCACAGTATTTTAGACATTCGAATTTGAATTTAGGTTGTCGAAAAGTTTTCTTCAATATTATGCAGCAACACGCCGGATTTATGCCACACACTTCCAGCAACTGCCCTAGTGAGCTGTTGAGTGTCGTATTAAAAATCTCTTACGAATTTACCTCTAAACCTTTCCAGATTTACAAGGAACAACTTTTGAAAATTTCCTCAAGATTCGAGTCTTAGCATCACTAACAAACAGCATTCATTTTTATATATATGGAGGTAAAGTAAAAATAATATAAAGTATTTTGGTTCTATTAAAAAAAACTAAAAATTTTATTATAAAAATGAATTGGTTAACTTATTTACATACATTTTTGTATTTCTTGTATATTAAGTCGAACAATTTTATAGTATTTACTTTCGAACCGTCTTAATATCAATACGCACACATACACAGGTATTGGCGTGAAATATATTTTGGAAAACGTTACGTGCTTCACCGGAGCAAATGGTTGCTGTTCAGCACACACAAATACACATGCGCACCTCCTTATAGGCAGTAATGTGACATTTCAAATATTTCTTTCAATCTTTATTGCCTCTGTATGCTTTCTCATAAGCCACTGAGCGACGCAGCACGTTGAAAAGAAAGGACCGTTGCAAGCTCAAGCAAACAAAACTTTTTAACCACAACTAAACGTATGTATATTACGCAAGTCAGCGGAGTTAAGAGCGGCGGATGCTGTGCGTTTGTGGTTTCGTGTGGCTTGGTGAGGTGTGACGCAGACGGTTCGGCTGCGCTGCCAGCGAAAAATGATGAAGAATTGGATCAAGTGCTGCAATTAACACAAATTGCCATGGAGCTTGTGCTCCGGCAGTTGTTGCAACTGACTGTGGCAACTGTTGTCGATTACAATGTGTGTATGTCACACACACACACGGACACACACACAGAGAGAGAGACACACATACATATTTAATAGTGAGAAACACAGCTTGGGTTGTGCTTAGGTAAAATGGTGTTTATATTTGGTAGTTGCGCGGTTAACAAGTCCAGCCGGAAATTCCTCTTCTCAGCGAGCTCTCATTTTGTTGGTGGTGGTCATGTAGAATCCGTGTGTGTAGAAAAGTTGAAATAGTTTCTGTGTGAGGCTTCGGATTGATCGAAAAACGCACTTCCACTACGACAATCCCACAAGGAGTAATACCAAGAATTTTACCTCAGGACATGCTTGGATTCTGTTTTGTTATTATAAAGAATATTTCTAGAATCTTAGGAGTGAGAAGTTAGAGCAAATTACGGGTCCCCGAAAGTAGTGGCCACTAGTCTAAATGAGAAAAGCAGAATTACGTAGCTAAAGGCAACTCGTGGACAGGCTTTGACTATGACGGCATTCTTCACTAAAAGACTGTAATGGAAATTTAGTTAATTTTTTTGACGCCTAGGCTTAGTTCTAGAAATTACTTGCTTCAATACAATAGGCTTTGACTCTCACTTCGATCTGTACATGAGAACAGCGCTGGAAGGGTGTTAACTAGATTTTGTTTTTATAGCTTTTATTACAGAAACCCCGAAATACTTATTTTTATTGTTTATTACTCAAGCTTGAATTGCCCTAGTATTTGTATAGCATTTCCATTCTTTGTCATTTTGCCGCTGGCATTAGCGTCATATACACGCATACATACTCACATTTTCAATTTTCATTTCATACTCACCTGGACCCTTGGCACCACCCTGCATAAGACGACCCAGACGAAATATAACAGCGCGTTCATATTCCTGAACAACCTGAAATTGACAAAGAAAAAATGTTGAAAAATGAAAATTCAATAGGTAGGAAATGAGGATGAAGCAGAAGAGGTGTTGAATAAGAAAAATTTTGCCCCCGGAATGGCAAATTTATTTGTAAACGATAATGTGTGAATAAACGACTGTAAATATATAAGTAAAAGTATGAGTACGTGTGGGTATGTGTGCCTGATGCGGGCATGTTCGCTTGCAATTTCAGCGACAGCCAACTAACCGAACAATAGAACACACAGCGTAGACGGCGCAGACAGAGAGAATCGCAAAGCAATAAAATAAATGATTGTTAGTAAGCTTCCGCTTCAGCTTGCTACGCCCTGCTACTCCTGCGTTCTCCACGGTCTGTGGGCTGAATGCATTCACTTACGAAAAGGTGTAAAGATCATTTATTATTCCATTTACTTGCAACTTTGCCATTTTGATAGCTTTAACGATTGTAGTTGCAGGTGTTGTTGTTATTATTGCTGCTACTGCCTCTGAACTTTTAATATTACATATAATGTGAATTTGATAGAACTCCCTGGCAAACACACATACCCACGTACAGTTTTGAGCAAATTGAAAGTATTATTTTTAAGTTCGTTTATTTTTCTTTTATTTTTAATTTTCCTAATTATTTTTCAAAAAAAAGGGGAATACTAAATCGTAAATTCAAATTAGTGCTTAAAATATTTAACAAAAGTTATACGAATTAATAATTCAAATATTGAGGTGTTTAATATTTTTAGAAGACAAAGAACAGAACTTTAGAAAACTGGCAGTTCATTATTCTTTTGCAGATGGATTTTGAATTTCTTTCGTTAGAATATGAAATTCAAACAAGAAGGTGAAATGTGGTTATATTGAATTTTCTCCAATTGCCAGCCAGAACTCCTAATTCTTTGTAAAATTTTTTAAAAAATGTTATTTACAACAATTTTTATAAATTTTAAAAAATAATCAGTACACACTTATTTATACTCCTTACTGTCCACACACACCTTAAAATATTTTTATATATGTATATTGTAATAATACATATTTCTAGAATTCCACTTACCTTAAAGCACACGAACAAACTGAACGGTAATGTGAGTATGACAAGTCCAACAGATAGGAATATCAGCAATTTCCCACACGTCGATGCCTTATCGCTAATTTCTTCATCGGCTGCAGAGAATTGTATGGGGAAATTGTAAAAGAAAAATTACTTAAGTAAATATGCAAGTGTATGCGTAGAGCGACATATGTATGTACATACTCATATAAAACAATTAAAGTGATTGAATGCCTGCACTTAATAAAAGTGGTCGCATACATATATATATATATATATTCTTATATTACTTCCACCTATACACATGATGATTTTAATGCTAGTTCTTTACGTAAACTCGCACTTTAGTATTGTAACGTAAGAATGAGGGGCTCTTGAGAGCTTATTGATTCAGCTTTTATATTGCGTTGGAAGAGTTTTACAAAAGCGTTAAATAGTCTTTAAAATGATTGTATTGCGTTATCGGTTAAATTAAATCATCTAAAAGGTATGTTGTCATTTTGATTTTAAAAATAATTTCAAAGCACTCACGATAGTTTTAGCAGAATTTTAAGTTTAATAAATTCAATTAATTTGTCATTTAACCAATTAATTGAGCAAAAAAAAAACGATTAATTTCACAAATAATTAATCAAGCTCTTCATTCAAATAAATATATATGAAAAGATATAATCGAAGGGTTCGTTTCAAACATATTCCACATTTAAAAAATTAAAGAATTAAAATTTTACTAAAATCGTATAACACTGAAACATTCTAGATTGACTAATTTGCAATATTTTGAAAATAATAAAAATAATATTTCGAATGCTGTAGGGTATAACGTTTATGGGTAAATTGTTCTGGTAAGAAATTTATTAGGTCAAGAATCCTCGGAAGTTAAAGAAAGCAACGAGTTCAGCGCGCCAATTTAATGCAAAAGCTATGTAAACCAAACCATAAATAGAAATTTTTCGAAAGATCGGCCCCTCATACACTTGCCAGAAATTACTTTTCGTTATGATAATTACGAACAACTAAAACAAATTGAGAATAATACTCAATTTCTGTTCTTGCGTCAACGTTGCGCTCCAATTTATGTGAACTCAGGGTTCTGAAGCTTCAGTTAAGCCTCTCCGCCGTTAGGGATCACTGAAGTCTAAATTGCAGCGATTGCTCACCCGATTCCCAAAGAGATGATAATGGAACAGACGTTCCATTGATGACTATGATAAAGTTCGAATAGCAAAGCAGCGGGATCCTATGGCTTACTGGCATAGCGAATCATGCCGAAGTAGTACAACACTGCGTATACGTAACTTATTTGTACACCTCTAAGCAATCTCTGATATGCCGAGAGCTAGGCTAGGATGTTTAAATAGAGCAGCCAAGTTCACTTTGAAGCTCTCAGAATCATCGATGGGTGTATGAAGGAATGCAGTTCGATTAGAATTTATTCTTTAAAGTTTTTCAATGAAGCAATACAAATCTTGTTAATTTACAATAATATAATTAAAAGCATGTGAAAAAATTAACTTTGCATTTTTCAAGCCTCTTATTCAAGTTCATTTAGCAATGATTAAATAACAACCTACTGGGCATTAAAATAAAAAAATAAGCACATAATATATTATTAAATTAATAATTAATAAATAATATAAATTAGATTGATGTGTTGAACCGACATTGGGGTGGCTATGAAATTTGCATAATTTTGCTGTTGAATATAAAATATCGCACAACAAATTTGTTCCATTGCTGGAAGCTTCTTGAATATTTTATACTTATATATGTATGTTTGTATATCATAGTATGTACACCCCCTTATTTGCATGTAAGCACATCTGTTTGCGGTTGATGTAAGCCCATGTGGGTCCATGTGTTGTATTCAACCATAATAACGCAAAACCCAAGTGTTGTAAAATTTTTCATTTCCACCGTTGAAATATGTTAAGAGACAACACCAATGTTTGCCTTGTCATGTTATTTGCACAAAAAAAAACTACGAAAGAATTAAATATTCGGAAATTTAATTACGTAACAGCATATGTGAGGAAATTTCCTTTCCATTTCCCGAAATAGTGTTTTTCTCGACTATGGTCACTTATGGAAATGTTATCCGACTAGCATACGAGAGTGTAGTATTATTTTTATTAATTGGTAAAAGACAAAGGGTGCTGAAAAAATACGTCATAGCGAGATCAAATTATGAAACACAAGAAATTCTCAGTTTGGAAAAAGCTATTTCTTTTTTAAATTAAAAGTCTCTGCCAATGCTCAAAAGGCCATAAATCTTCTGCATAGCTTATCTCTCGAAAGTTTTTAATGTGGTCTCATAAAGCATGGCCGGATTGATGAGGGACTTGGTCTTTGTTCGTCTAAAGAGCGCTCTGCCTTCCATTTGCGTTAAATTTTAACGCTAATAATATTGTTTCTTTATTCGACCTTTAGAAAGTAAACCTAACAGCTTGGGGTTTTAGATCAATGATAACAGTATCATCATCATAAAAGAAGAGAAATTCATCAGAAGCAACTATATTTACTGCTATCGCTATCAGCAAAAAGGTGATTTTAATCTTTCACACAACAATCTTGAATCCTTCTATTGGTCGTCGCATTTTTTCATACAATTTTCGAGAAATACCCATTAGCCTTATGCTTTTCGTATTCACTCATTACGGCCTAGTTTTCTCTCTGCGAATACTCTCATCTCCTTTCAGCGCGCGATGTGTTTGATGGCAACGTTGTCTTTTTTCCACAGATATATGACAAAACTCAATGTAGCAGCTCTTCTTTCGGTCTTACAGTTTCTTTGGCCGCTGTTCGAAGCGAAACAACTGCCATTATTCACATTGTTGTTGAGAGTCGTCAAAGAGCGCGATAGATTGATAGATAATAGTAGTGGAAATATTTTTATTATAAAAGCCTATATCCAGTTCTTCAGCATTGGTTAAGAAAATTCTTCCTGTCATGTGAGCTTTGAATGGTTGGCTGCTCTTAAGTTAGAGAACCGATAACGTCGTACATTTTTTCGATAAATCATTTCCTAGCATACTTGACAAAATATATGAATGTCTCTAATTGTTCTCTTAAGGAAAGCAAAGTAACGTTTTTTTGAAATGCAGCTCAGCGGGTTTTCGAAAGAAATATTTAAAACGCCAAAAGCACGCTCATAATTTGTTTGCGGACTTGGTAGATAGACTTCATGGTAATATAAATGAATATAAATAATAATTTAATCTCCACTTTGTATACAACTCGCCGATATTTTACACTTTTCTCCACACAGTAAATTTTCCTTATTATTTTCCACCATCTGCTTGCGGTAGGGTGGATTATCTTAACAAACCTTTATACTACAATTTTTTTTTCTCTGGTAATTATATGCCATACCAGGCGATGTTGGAAAATAAACAAGAGTATTTATTGAAAAATTAGGTACCGTTGATGGTGCAAGACTAGACTTTTAACTAACCGGACCTACTAAGTTACACTTCAAGCATATATATGTATATATACAATATATGTTCGTTTCAAATTTTGTATTGTATTCAAAAGCTATTTTCTTTAAAAACTGCATGATATTTTTGTAGGACAACATCCGAAATCTTCAAAATGCACTTACGTCCGTTCGCTTGATATTTAAATGTTTAATAAATTTTGTAATGGCAAAAGTAAACTTACAATGAAGAAATCCGCGCGATTGTTTTGCTGTCATATCTGAAAGAGGTACAATTTCGTATTGAAAGAAAATGCAAATAAAGAGGCAGCGAAAGAGGAAGTAGAGGTATGCATGTAAATCATTTGTTCATGAAGCGAAGGAAATCAATGGCGTTTCAAAATGCAAGACGCGTCTTGTCACAACAACTACTTGTGCACAAACACATTCATATATAGCAGGGCTACGTATTGTAAGTATTCTTTTTGCATAATAACAGAATCTACAACATTCCATTTACATTTATAAATACATATTATATATATATATGTATATACATATATCATATATATTTAGAGCTACTACATATTTGTTTAGCTGGCACCGTAATATCATAATCGACATGCTACAAGTTGGCAAAAGTCACTTACTACTCACGTATATACTTATACACTCATATATAAATAAATATATTATCGTATTATTGCTAGGCTATTAAATATAATTGTTTTGGTGTGTATATTTATATATACACTATTATCATATTTGCATAGTTTCTCCACACATACGCACATCGCTAATATTTACATAGACAGATTAACTCCTTGCGCATACAGCCGCATACTTACAAGAGTGAAAGAGATTACGACAAACGCTTTCGGCGCCTCAGCCAGCCAGCGCTATAAATGCTTAATATCGTAGTTTCTAATTACACAATATACATTTCGGCAAAAGCTATGCTGGAGGTCAGGTCACACGCATATATTCCTAGTAGTTTGTTTGTAAGTACGAAAGTTTGTAGACTAAGTTTTAGGCAAATCATTCTCATATATATTTCTACGTACATGTGTATAAACCAAGCAGTTAATAAAGTAATAAAATTACGAAATTATGAAATAAAAGCCAATTTAGTGCTTAAGTCATTGAAATTACATGCAATTTGCAGCTAATAATTATCTCTATGTAATTTTACGGTACTTGCGAAACACATATATGTATAATTCATTATGCGACTAAGTATTTCGATTATTAATAGAGTTAGTACGTGTAGTATACAATATTATTTTAAGTAGCTTATTATTTTTTCTAAGTATATTTATAAGAACAAGGTTTAAATTGGAAGTATTCATATATATATGAACATATGCATGTCAACATTGTAAAACTTAAAATTAATTATTTATGATTTAATATGACTGAGTGTCGTCAATTCTTCTAGTCATACATATCTACAATCTTGGTCACCCGTTTCAAAGTAAAAAACATTGACATTTCAGGAAAGTGGAAATTTCGTAAAATAAAAAAAATAAATTTAATTAAAATCACTATGCCAGATTTACTCCACGCACCAAAAAGTTTTAATTAGCATAGCTTTTTAAGTTTTGTCCTAATTTTACTATAAAATCAACTTTTGAAAGACAGCGTCGTTAAAACTTTCTAATTTACTTAATTTAGTTAAAATTTGACAATTAAAAAACTCAGCGAATTTTTCCCTCACTCATATACATACATATAGTATGTGCACTTTTTAGCCCATGTTTTGTTATGGAAATGTTTATATTTTCCAATTATTTTAATAATCCCACAAGAATAATGAACCAGCAACGTTGACAACAGCAAAAAATAAAGTATAGTTGAGCATATACAGAAAGTCAAGTGGCGGACGCATGAAAATGTGCAGCGAACAGTGAGCACTTAAATTTTTCAGCAGATAATAATGAAAGCAAGGTACGTCGCATACATCATATGGTATGTTATTAATATACCAAAATTAGCCCAGCAGTAAGGTTAAGATTTCAATTAATAAAATAAATTTGTGAAAAGGAGAAGGAACTTAAGTAAAAATGGGTTAATATAAATATTTCCGTATTTACGAGTAAGTATTAAAGGCAAACGTTAAAATGCTCCAGACTTTTCCTCTCTAGAAATGCGCCAAAAAAAAAAAAATACTCACTAACTAGCTCATAGCGATGTAGTGTATTTTATGCTATTAACGGAGACCACTCTTACTCGTATACACTGAATAATTCACCGTTTGTGGTTTGGTTGAAGTCTCTATGCGCTCAACGCATCGCATTTTACACACCACAATATAATCCCTTCTTTTTGTGTTGTGCAGCCAGTTAAACAATAGAACACCGACTACTGAGGAGCACATCCTTATAGGAAGGATAATAGCGAAACAGAATAAAAATTTGTGTATAATTTTCATTCCATTGTTTTAAATGCAAGCAAAGAGAATAAAATAAAATAAAATAAACTGCAATTACAAAGGCATGTTATTTTCCTCTGTTTCATATATAGCTTTGGCGTCTGTTCCTTTTATTATTGTATTTCGTTAGGAGGTGGAAAGAGACCCCGGATACGTGCAACTAGTTTGTTTGGCTGCAAAAGGTTTATAACCTCACGCATTAACAACGATTAACTGCTTCGAAACATAGCCCGTTAAGGTTCCGGTTAAAAAAATATGATTTGTACTTAACTATAATTAATTTGTCTTAGTATTAGGTTTCGAGAAGAAAAAATGATGAAAGGAGGTGTCTTTCAGTGGAATTCTTTTTGTTTTTTAGAGGTTTCATGATTTTCAAAGAAATAATTTTATGCAAATATTTACAGTTTACAATTACAAAAGGAAAAAAATGGATTAAAAAGGAGTGAAAATAAAAATCTTTTTGGCAGAATAGTCTATTGATAAAACGATTTATGTATATATGATATTTTGCTAAAATTTTTTTTTAACGAAACGTTAGAATAACTTTCGAAAGCTAATGGTCTATCACAAATATAATCTCTAATAAAATATAATTAATATGTCCTAGAGAAGACCACAGGTGCTCAGAGCTCATTGGCTTCGAACTTGGCAGAGATTCCGCAGTGGGCAGTGTGGGCAGGCAAACAAATCAGTCTTATAGAAACAAATTTGCACGAGACCAAGAGGGAGATCGAAAATTCCTCAACAAAACCGTAATGATTGCTTGGCTGTGACCCTAAATGCTAAAATGCTTTACTGTCCATTGTTTAAGGCGCCACAGCTTATCTAATCACCCTTAGAGGGAATAATGGTGGCGAGAAGCTTTTTGGGAGAGACTCCGTGTTCAGGAGTAAAAAAGTTAAATAGGAGCGAAATTCTTTTGAGCTTTTTATCTTACCAAAACTTATTTCTTTTCGAGAGGAGTCTGTATGAGAGCTGGTCTTGGAGATTGATATTGGGATTATAATGACAGTTGTCAGCGGTGTCACGAATATCATGACTTACGTTTGACCGTTTTTGGTCGGAATTTTAATCATCTTACAACACAAGGAAACACATAATACTGTATATGCTAGTTGATAAATATTCTATTAACCAAAGGGTCGATTAGTACCGTAATCAATCTTAGTGATGGACAAGAAATAAAGAACTTAATTTTCAAATAGCCAGCGCATGTAAAATACTTTGAAAGGCGTGCACAACTTGACCTGAATCTACTGAATGCATTGACGTACCTTAAATTTTTGAAATAAAATCAAGCTTTACAAAAAAATATATACGTATGTAGGTTCTATTTGAAAAGTTTATATAGTTTACATATAATATTATATTACAATTTCCTATGTGGGATATTCTACTCTGAGAGCTCTTGAATAAAACGCACTTATAAGAAATTAATATAGTACATATTCCACATCTGTACATATCCCACGCTCCATTTCATATCGCATTCATGGATAACTGCTGCATATTTTCCAAACTAAATACAAACACACTTACAATACAAGAATATTTCATAAAGGTGTTCTGGTAAAACTTATTGGCTGTTATATACATTTCAACGACCAGGTAATGAGTGTAATACACACAGGCAACTGCGCACTCTGTGGCATATTTATAGATATGTACATATATACGAGCATCTATTCACATAAGTTCAAATGAAGAACTTTACTAGTAATTACATATCAACATATCGTCATAATGTTTGTGACCAGCGCATGCTGTTGGCTATAATACAAATGCATCTTTAACACTTTTTCTCCCAATCGACGTATAAATCCTTACATTATCAATACATACTCGTATGTGTTTTACGCACTCACCTTTTTTGGTATCTGGCATTTCGTTTAATAACTTCACCTCTTTGTTTTTGGTTTGTGCTCCTACGAAGTTGTTGCTTTTTTATGGACGTTTTCCTGTTTGGTAATTTGGCACTTTTTTGAGATGAGCATACACCCACTGGCAGGCGGTCAGCTAATTATGCTATGAAGTATGTGGCATCAAAGGATCACAATTTGGGTGGTAAATGGAGAGTGTGCGCACAGTGGCGAGATTGTTGAGTATCCTAATTTATTATTGTGCTAATGGATAATGTTGATATTTAATCCATCTTCATTCTGGGTTAAGCAGCAATGGTAACCTGAGTTCTACTTTGGAAAAATTTATTTCTAAAATTTAAGAAATTTTAAACATTCACTATTAAACTTTTTATACAATTTTGAAATTATCGCTATTTATTTAATTTTGCTTCAATTCATTCTATTCCAATTTATTCCATTTTGATTTTTAACATAAATATATGTACATAATTCAATTTTATTCTAAGATACTCTCAGTATACTTTTTTTTTTTTTTTTAATTTTCTTTAATTTAATATAAAATAATTTAAATTTGGTTGATTGTATTTTGTTCAATGTTATTTAACCTTTATTTTATTTTATTCTTAATTATATATCGTTTATGTTGTTTGTTGTATTTTATTAAAATTTATTTCAGTTTATGTAATTTTTTATTTTGTATTTTATTTTATATTAGTTTATTTTAATTTGTTTTATATTTAATTTTATTAATTTTAAATTTCTTTCACTATATTTTGTTTTGGTTTATTTTATTTCGTTTTCTTTTTTTGCTACATTTATTTTCTTTATAGCATTTTTGTTTTAAATTTTCGTTATATAATCTAGATTAATTTTATTTTGTTTCCTTTTTAAAATTTACTATAATTTTTTGTAATTGTGCATATTATGTACTATTTATTATCCTTGTTTCAATTTTTGCTTTCACCTTTCACCCCTTTCCTTGAAAATT